TTTTTTTTTATCATATTCTCCCTTCCCCTCCATCAGAATATAATTTCCATGAGGTCAGGATAGAGTTTCTTCAGTGTTGTATCCTGAGCAGCAGAAACAACGTTTGGCATGTAGCAGGTGTTAGATAAATATTTGTTGAATGAACAAATGCTTAAATAAACCCATTACCTCATTTGGTCCTTGCGACAGCCCATTTGACAGATGAAAGATGCTAATGCCCACGTTCTCCATAGTTGCATGGTCAAGCGTAGGGTCAACTGGGCCCAAAGCCCCCTGTGGCTGGCTTCCCTCTGCAGATGGCACATTCCTCTGCTGGAGACCGACTTCATACTGTTAGGATTTCCCCTGACCTTTAGCCCGAGAGGAAATGATATGGCAACTGGAAGAATCCCCCAGGGCCAGGAGCTGGCAGCTAAGTCTCCCGCAGCTGCAGGGAGTGTGTAAGTGGATTCTGAGTTGGCCAGAAAGGCAACAGAACAAGCAGGATGCAGCGCAGGGCCTCCTGTCCCCGCCTGGTGTTCGGGGCTCCTTTTTCTCCAGGAGGCCCAGCAGCTGCAGCTCCCGCTGAAGCCAAAATCATGAGAGGGAAAGAGGTGGCTTGCTGTCAGGAGTTACTGTGGGGGGCACCACATGGCTGCCTCCAATGGCGCCCTGGACCTGTGGCATTGAGGCCCAGTAGCTGTGGTGCAGCAGGAAGCTGGGCCCTCAGCTCCCTTTCTGGGTCGAGCAACCCAGGCTAATTATCTTGCACCTGAGTCTTGCATCTGGAGACTCTAACAGGGGTTACACTTCATCTACTTCATGGTCTAAGGGGATATGGGAAAACTGCTTTGTAAGCTGCAAGTTTCTAAACAAATGTAAGAAAGAATTTTTGTTTGTAAATAAAATGTCCTTCGGAGACTTTGATGTGGTTTCATGTATGCAGTTGTCTCTCCTGCGCACAGATCTGCTGTGCCCCTTCCCACCAGTTGCCTTTCTCATCCCACACATCGAATCCACCAGCTCTACCTGTTAGCTCTGCTGCCAACTGTATCCCTGACATGACAGGCGTCCAGCATCTCTCCTACGGTGTCTGTTCTGCACCAGTGTCGTCTCTCACCAGCCCAGGACAAGGATCCTAGCTGAAGATCTGCCTTCCATCTCGCCTCCTGTACCCCAGAGCAATCTTGGTAAAACATAAACACCCATTTGTCTTCAGTTTTAAAATCTCTGCGGGTCTGTGTGATGAGGAGAAAAGAAGTCAGAAAGGTCACAGCATGAGCGGCGCGGCCCTGTGGAATCAGACTCCTTCCCTATCTAACCTTACCCCCTGGTCCACTGCCAGCTGCCCCTCCACATGGCAGGTTCACTCCAGATCCACATTCTTTATCCACCCTTCCTCCGCGGAGGATGCTGTGGCCCAGATTTCTATGTGGAAACATCTTGCTTGCCTCATTTCAACCCCTATGTTGCCTGCCCAGAGCTCCTTCTCCAACCACCACACAATCACTCTTCCAATCACTTTCTGTTGGTTTTTTTTGTTTTGGTTTTGGTTTTTTGAGACAGGGTCTCACTATGTAGTGGAGACTGACCTGGAACTCACTGTGTAGTCCAAGCTTGTCTTGAACTCGCAGTGATCCTCCTGCCTCAGCCTCCCGAGGGCTGGGATTACAGGCGTGCACCACCATGCCCGGCTCCAATCACATTCTGCGCGGAATTTGATCTTCTTTAGAGCATTTTCTGAAGCTTTAATTATCTTATTCATGATTTTCATCCCCTGTTTATTGACCATCTCCCCATTCTAAATGTACACTTCTTGAGGACAAGAGCCTTACTGTCTTTGTCATGGCTGGGCTCGTGGTGCCTGGAATTGTAGTCGGCAGGCAATAGGACTCATAAATGCTTGCAGATTGACATCTTCCTGGTGGAGATGAATGGTAGTGTGGTATGCAGATGATGGCTACTAGCAAACACGTACTAGCTGTACTGTGAGTCTTAGTGCATACAGTGTCTACAGTTAAATACATAAGGTAAACACAGGAGTTTCTGAAGGGAGGCTGTCCCTGAAAAGAAAACTGGCATGCCTAGGGAATGCCCAGAATGCAGGAGCAGACAGACAGGAGCAGACGGGAGCAGACAGAGCCTGTCACGTCCAGCAGCAGCACTGCCTCCTACCTCATGAGCCCCAGGCCTGAGAGTGCCCTCCCTCCATCCCTCCCTCTGTGTGTGTGTGTGTGTGTGTGTGTGTGTCCTCTATATATTGAATCTTTCTTATGGAGGTGAGGTGAGGAAATTGACTTGAGGTTTGCCTGTTAACTTCGTAAACTCGATTCTAAGTGCTGTTGAGCTGATCGGACATAGTACTTTATTGATTTGTGAAGGAGATGTGTGGTTGTAGAAAGCAAATTCTTTTTTTGTCCTAGCATGGGGTGTGCGGTGCTGTATGTGAGCTCAGCACACAAACCTCTGTTGAAGAAATCATTGCTGAGGACCACGTTTGCTGCCTCATCCTTGATGGTGGTGCACAGAAGGCTGAGGTGCCCTCCCCTTTCTTTTATCTCTGTGTGTTTAGGTGGACTCAGGGAGCAGCCATCCGAGAACTGGCCGAACACCACTGCCTTGAATACCAGCAGCCACCAAGCTAGAAAGGGTAATGTATGTGAAGCCCACCAGGTCTCTGGGTGCCTACCTTTTGTTTTATTCTTTTTAATTGTGGCAAAATACAGATAACCTAAGATTTCCTGTTTTAAAGTGTATGCAGTAGGTGCTTTAAGTACATTCACAATGCCGTGTGACCACCCCCACTTTGTCACAGTTTTTCATCACCGCCAGAGGAGACCTGGACACACACGTTAGTCTCTCTCTGTTGCCCCTTCCCCAGTCTCCGGCTTTGGACAGCTCTTCCAGAACCTCCAATTATGGCAACAGCTGAAAGGATGCAAAGCTCTGCAGCCTGGGCACGAGGGTGTGCTCCCCCAGGGGAGAAGGCTGGCTGCCGCCCGAGAGAGGGATGGAAGGGAGCACAAGGACTGCAAGGCCTTCAGTTACACTCTGCGTTCTTTCTTGAGTTTGGCTTGTGAGTTGAAATTCCCAGAGGCCTGGGAGGAAACATGAGGAGGTGTGGTGAACTGGGGGTCTCAGGAATGAGCGGGTCTGAGAGGCATGGAAGGAAAACTGTGGGGCCCTGTGGGGTTGGGGGACCAGGGGTCTTGTGGGCTGCCAAGGGAGGGGCAGGTGAGCAGCCACCTGTTGGCCCGGGGCCTGCCTCGCAGTACCCCCACAGCCCACCTGTACGCAAGGTGCAGACCTGAGCGAAGTCTGCCAGTCTTGGGGGCTTCACTGGAAGCATCTCATTTTTGGAGAAGTCGTAAAGAGCCTCCTACAGGGTCGATCCTGCAGGAATTAGAGCTTGTGATGGGCGGCAGCATTTCTTCTACATAAGGTTAATTGCAGAACACAAGAATAATTTTAAAGTGCTAGAATCCTCCGATTCAGGATGCCTTTGTAGGAATAAGATAGAAATCATTATTTTCTTTAGTCTGTGTTTTTTGCATTAATATTTTTTGCATAAACAATTTTACACAGAGTTATATAAATGCATACAAGTGACAATATCGTCTTATACTATTTCTTAGTGGTGCCTTTTTTCCTTTTATTTGGCTATTTCCTTCTTCTTTTTTTTTTTCTTGGTACCAGGGATCATCTCATGGCCTTGCACTTGCAAGGCAAGTGCGGTGCCTCTGAGCTAAATCTCCAGCCTCCTCCTCTTTTTTTCTCAACATAATCACCTCTCTACTCTCTTCTGGGTAATGTGTGCTAATGACTTTGTATGCACCTTCCCACATTTTTTTCCATGCACCTACATTGCCATATGCACTGATGTAGAGATACGCAAATGTAAGTATACATATAAACATACACATAGATTTTAGACTTTGCCATTGTTTTTAAAAAATAAGGATCATATTTGATACACATTTTTAAATGTATCATGCTTTTCTCATTATTATGTCATGGAAAATCCCTCCAAGGTACTTGTTATAAAAATTTGTTCTTTTTAATAGCTGTAAAACATTCCTGGTATGGATGAGCCGTAATTTAGTCAGCCGTTCCCTTAGCGGTTGTATTCACCTTATTTCCAGTTTTTGCTGGCATGACCAATGCCTGCAGTAAACGTTCCTGAACATTTATCATTACACACTGAGTGTGTTTTTAACAGATGTTGCTAGATTACACATTTACAAGTGTAACAATCTGCATTTTCATGGCAGTTTATGAATGTATCCCTTCCCTGGATGCTCACTAAGTATGATTGGTAAACAATAGCTTTTTATTACCTACTTTGTATTACTCTCACTGTGGATGGGTGTGAGCATCTTTTCCTACATTTGCCAGTGGTTTGAGTCTGTACTCTGGGACTTGCTTCTTTGTATCTTTTACTCATTTTCTTAATGGGTTGCTGATCCCTATCCTATCTAGTTGACTTCTTTAACAGAGAGGCAGATTCTTGGCCTTCCCCTCTCCCACCCTGCTCCTCTACCATCTGGGAAACCTGCATTTGTGCCGAGCTGTTACAGTTGGGACCATGTGCAGGGACCCCTTTGAAGACTATATTTGCTTATTTGTGGGTATTTTGATTTATAAATTTTCAGGATGAAAATTTTGACTTACAAATTTTCCCCTGGATTTTGGGGAAACTCTGGGACACTTCATTTAGCCACATATTACCACCACTGAGTGGTAAAAATGGAACACAGAGTTCGGGGAGGGAAACAGAGAGGTTTCCCATCAGGTTACCAAGATGCCACACCCTTTTCCTCTTTCCTATTTATGTCATTTATTATTGCATAAAACCACCATTAACCTACTGACTTCACACAATGATTTGTTGTCTTTCATGATTCTGTGGGCTGACTGGGCTCAGTGGGGTAGCTTTTTGGAGTCACTCACTTGACTGCGCTCATCTAGCAGTTGGATGGGGCTGCAAAGTCCTGAAAAGCTTTCGTCCCTGGTACCCCAGTGAGCCTCCAAGTGGCCCTTGTCCCTATTCCCTTGTCCAGCCTGAGACTTTCTACAGCATGGTGTCTTTACAGAAGGAGGGATCAGAATATGGTGATCTTTTTAAGGCCTGGATTCAGAACTCAAGAATACTGCTTTGACACAATTCACAACAAATGAAAAGGCCATCCCAGGTTCAAGGAGAGGGAGATGGAGTCAACTGCATGTGAGAATCAGCACGAGCTTCTCATTCCCAGGGATGAGGGAACTTGGTGGTGGCCCTGTCTGGAGATTATCAGTATATCTTATCTGCTTACCACCAATGAATATTGTCAGAGTTTTTGATATTTACTACTTTGAGGGTATAAAATGACTCAACCAAATAAACTGAAATAGTCAGACACACTTGGGTTTAAATCCTGGCTCAGCCATTTAGTAGCTATGACTTCGGATGAGTTATCCTACTCTTTATATGAGGCTTGGAGAGAATTAGAAATAATATGTTTACAAAGCACATAGCTATGTGTCTGGAATTTAAAAGGTGCTCAGTGAATATAGCCCTTCCATTCCTTCCTCCCCATGTCCACCTCCGAGAATTATGTTACGCAGCATTGAGAGTACATCATCTACCTCTAGACTGGGATCGTATAGCTGTTTAACAGCTGCGCAGAAACACAATTATAGAGGACAGGAAGGAATAAGGCTGTAGCAGCCCATTAAAATTCTGCCTCTGATTGGGTTGTCTGCAGGACCTGTGTTACAACGAGAGATCTCAGACTTGGTAAGGAAGATGAAGCTAATACTCCCCTTTACACATACACAGACCTCTGATGCTTGCTTGATCCACAGTCTGTGGACTCACATGACCCTGGTTTCATGTTTGAAGAGGACAGTGAATGTAAAGGCTAGGCCAAGCCCTCCATTCTGCATTCCACAGCAAATACGCAGGTCTGTAAACACCCAGGGCAATCCAGAGGAAGGAGACCCTACAAGTGAGGAGGAAAGGACAGGCTGTTCAAACTAGTCTCTCCATCCTTCTCATTCTGTCCTTTTAGGACTCAGTTGGGTACCAGCCTGGGTGGATCTTGCTTTTGTTTGAATTAAGGATAAGTTGTGCCAATCCCAGATTCTTCTTTAATTGCACCTGCTCCACGACCCCCCCAGTTCTGCCCCCGTACTGCAGAACAAGAGTCCACCCAAGCAAGAGAAAGGATCTGAGGAAAGCCCCTGGCCTGCTGGTTTCAGCAGCAGGTTTATTTCCTGGCATTGTGTGGCTCCCGTCAGCCCTGACGGTGGGGATTTGTGCTGGCAGCTCTTGGGAGCAGTGAATTGCTGAACTGCTCCCTCAACGCCCCCTCCCCCACAGACTTTGGTCAGATGAGCCCTCCCCTGGGGAGGACAGCTCAGCATGCATCTGGGGGCTGATAATGGGATCAATGAAATGGAGTGTGTAACTGCTCCATGGATGAAGCTGGAACTGCTTGGATAGACCCAGATTTCCAGAACCATATTCTTAAAAGAGAAAGAGTCCCTAATGCCTTTGTGCCAAAGTGGAGAATAGTAAAATCTGATTGTACTAGAGAACAAGGATCCCCAAAACTTAGGTGCAAAACAGCACTCTGTGCAGGAATCCCTGAATGTTACTTATGTCAGTGTATTTGGGTATAACTGTGAAGACTGGCTGACTTTAGCCCCTCATTTTATTTTTGAACAGTCTTTTTCTTTTGGTACTGGGGATTGAACTCTGGTCCTTGTGCTTGCGAGGCAGGCAGCAGAACCACTGAGCTAAATCCCCAGCCCTAGTTCCTCATTTTAAACTGTCCCACATGCAGACATTCCCAGTAATTATTTATCACAGCTCCCACTGTGCCCTTCCTCACAGCACATGTTTGAAATATTCTGCCTGGCTCTGTGCTCTCACTGCTATCGCGCAACTGGAAGCGAGGCTGAGAGAGAAGCAGTTTGTCTAAAGCCACCCCGATAGCAAATGACAACATTGACCCCGAGTTTAAATCCTCTGCCTCCAAGCCTCTTAATCTTCACTTCCATCTTTCACTTTCAGTAGTTCCCAAATTTCTGTGCACTTTGTTGTCAGTTGGGAACTTTAAAGACTGCAGATGCCTTGACTCCACTCTAGGCCAACTGAGTTGCAGTCTGTGGGAAGTCAGGCGTGAGTACTTTTTAAAAACTTCCCCAGTTGATTCTAATGTGCAGCTAGGTTTGAGAACCATTGTGTAGAACAACAGTCTTCCTTTATACCAACAGACTGGTCTTTAGTCTTTCAGGATTGTGCCAGGCAAGGTGTGAATCTGCCCACCATCCACAGCGTGAAGATTTTGCAGATGGTGTTTACTTCCAGTGTAGGAGCAAACAGTTAACTGATCTAAAAATTGCAGTTCCTTCCTTGAGAGGGCCTGGCCTGTGACATGGCCATGCCTTCAGCTGGAAATGGAACATTAAATAGCAATGACCACTTTGCTGTTCCGGAGAGGCAGAGTCCCTCCCAGATCCAGAGAATTTAAATGGGCTTTATCTCCCCCCACCACTCAACCCCCAGCATGTTAAATCCTTTCAGACGTCCCTGAGCTCCTCTTCAAATACAGGACTCTTGGCCATAATAAATAATTACATCCTTCTATTTGGACTCCAATT